CAGTCTCAAGCGACCACGAATAACGCATATTGCACAAAAGTTTGCAAAGCTCAGCACTTCTGGATAAGAATCATAGATCATGTAGTTGTCAACTCCGGGAACAGCCATGTTGACCGCCACTCGGCCTACTTAGTCCTACGCCATTACGTGAGTAAAGGACAGAACAAGATCACATCGAAAATAGTAAATTCGAAAGGAGACAGACTTGTGACGAAACCACTGGAAGAGGAAGCATGATTTTCAGCATCCTCTCACGTGGAGATGAAACCCAACACGAACTACCGTCGGTTAATGCCAAAATTAAATGTGCAATTCCTTTTTGACAACCAACTATACAGACAAATAAACGGCGTCGCTATGGGCTCGCCTATCGGGCCTCTTTTGGCCAACATCTTCATGGTCAAACTGGAAAAAATTCAATTCAGCAAGCAGATCCATGAGTTAAAACACTACGGCCGATATGTCAATGATATCGCCCCAGCAGATACTGATGTAAATGCGCTTCTACATACTGTTAATCAGGCACACCCCTCCATTAAATTCACCTTGGAGGTGGGGACGGCAGGTTTGCTTCCTTTCTTGGATGTCCTCGTAAGTCGAAGACCTGACGGTAGCATCCGAAGGAGCGTTAACCAAAAGAAAAGCTGGTCCAGACAGTATACAATCTTTAACAGTTTTGTACCTATCCAACGGAAGCGTTACTTAGGCCGCTGTTTAACGCAAAGAGCCAGAAAAATCTGCTCAGCTGACACTATTGAAATGGAGCTCCAGAAACTCCAGGAGGTGCTTCGAGAGAACGGATATCAGGACAGATTCATCATAAAGAATATGATGGAGAAAGGAACAAAGCACACCACACCCTCAAAGTCCCCTCTCAAGGGGATGCAGCAAGCGAACTCTTAAGCAGACGCCTCAAGCAAGCCGTAGCACAAACCTTCCCAGCAGCGAAAATTCAGGTGTTATTTTCAACCAACCCGGTACTGCACGTGAGGGTAAGGATAAGCTGCCAGCTCAGACCACGTCTATGTGTATCTACTCCTTTACTTGCTCCTGTGGAGCTGGTTATATGGGTCGCACGAGTAGGCGCTTATCTAAAAGAATACGGGAACACCTTCCGGCATGGCTAGCCAAAGGCGAGACCAAAAGAATAAACAGTTCTATCCTCGCACACATGGTTGACACCGGACATTGTGTGCACCCAAGCGAAGCCTTTAAGGTAATTTTCAAGCTCCCACCAAACTACCCAAAGTCTCTGGGTCAACGTCTGCTGACAACAGCACAAGCAACCGCAATCCGATTGAGGAAACCGGTTTTGTTTGCACAAAAGATTCTCGTGCAAGCCCTTTACTTGGCATGGCCAACGATTACCTAACTGGCTGCACATCTCCGCGCTCTGATTGGACCCTGCATGTAAAGAAAGACAAACTATCGATTTTAAA